GTTTCAGTACCAAAGTGAGGGCCGTATGAAAGTTATGCACTTCTAGCATCCTTTTCCCTCAAACATCTAATCTTAATCCCAATTTTTCACACACTATATTATTACCTAATCAGTTTTAAACCTATTGTACGAATGTCAATTCAGTCTTAAACCTTTTAATTTTGCCAATTTAATCATAAACATTTATGCAAAATTCTAACGTCATATTATTGTTTGGTTTTCACAAGAAACCTACTTTTCCGTTAATTAACGGAAAATTAATTCAGAAATCCAATGAAACCTACGTCAAGATCTCTACCAAAAATCTGGGCGTTAAGAAGCATTATATAAACTGGCTGAGCAAATCGACCAACGAGTGCTAAGCATCACCAAAATATCTTTCTTTGAAAAATTATTGAAATTCACACTAGTTAAGATTTGGAGCACCTAATTATTTTCATAATTTTCGACTCAATGATACTCGATATTCTTATTTTGAAAATATTCCCATGTTGTTCTTTGGTGCCTCTTCAATCTGTAATCAAATGCCAAAATGTTATTCACTTATAAGACTGTTTGGGTTTAGAGGGAATTGGAAAACACTAAGATATGAAGACTAGGGTGGCGCTATTTCCACACCCGAAACAGCTTAATACATACCTTTTTCATTGAGTAGACAAAAGGGTGTGTTTGTTTGATTAAAGAATTTTACGCGATTCAATTTTCTGAACTTTCACGCATACAAATTAGCCAAACCGTTCAAGTGAAAACATGGTGGATAAATGTTTAAATACGTATAAGTACGTTGCCAAGACTTGACCGCGGAGGTACATTTCTTTCTTTTCTCCCTTGATACAGACATTAAATTCTTTCTTATCACGTTAGTATGATATTGGATGATTCCTCGCGTCACCTTTTTCTAAAAGCCGCGATTGGATATATCTTAATCATAAATACTTATTTATTAAAATTCCAGAATTCAATACCTGTTTGAAGCAAACGACAGCTGCTTTCTATCGAACCATTCTCATGTTCGGCCGTTTAATGGATGGCGACCCGCAACATGCAAATGCAGGAAGGATGGCAGCTGGTTTCGAAATTATCTCGTGTCGAAAGATGGAGGAGATGGGGCTCAAGATTTGATTGATTAGAAAGAAAAAGGAAAAAGGAGAAGAATTTTTAGATAGACATTTCTGTTTAATAGATATTTGGTCAATTAAACTAAAAAAAGTTTAAATTGAGCCATTTTGTCAGGCTGAATACCCTAAAAAACGTCAAACTTTAACTTTTATCTCAATTTTACATTTTGTCTTATAAAAAACCTCAAACTTTAGGTCATATCTCAATTCTACCATAAACTTTTTTTTGTTCCATAAAAAACCCTCAACTTTAGATCATATCCCAATTCTATCTAGGGGTGAGCATGGTCCGGGTGGGCAGTTCCCAACATGGAACTAGGAACCGCCCACAAAGGAAAGGTTTCGAGAAATTGGAACCGGGAACTACACATTGTTTCCATAGACCCACCCAGAAATCGGGACTGGTCCGATTCCCGGGTGAGTCCATGGAATTGATCTCACCAAATTTCACGCAAATGGAGGTGACCGAGAGTGAGAGAGGGAGGCGATGAACCACTATAGGCGCGGTCATGAGTTGATGGGAGTTGAGAGTCGAGCTTCAAATTAGAGATTTTATGGTTTTTAATCTTATAAAAATGTTTTCTTTTTTTTTTGGTTGAAATTTTTTTTAAAATTATATATATGTATATATATATTATCGGTCCGGTCTGGGTAGGTGGTTTCACACCTAGAACCGGGAACCAGACCGGTACTCACCGATTCTAGTAAATTAGAACCGGGAACCGGACCAATCTCACTAGAATTGCCGGTTCCAGGCCTGTCCGGTCCGGTTCCAGGCGGTTCGGGCAGTTTCCAGTTCTATTGCACACCCCTAATTCTATCCTAAACATTTTTTTGTTCTATGAAAAACTTGTCCTAATTTTAATGCCCAATCCCAATTATACCCTAAAATTTTTATAGTCTTATAAAAAGCCACAAATTTTTACTTGAGTCATAAATCTACCCACATTAACCCCCATTCCAAAATTTCCAGTTGGAACCAAGAGATGGAAAACTCCTAAGCATAAACTGTTCAAGCGTCCCGAGCACAAGTTTTTCGACCATCCCGGGTGCGAGCTCTCCATCCGCCAAAGATGGAACATTCCCAAGCATGAGAAATCAACGAGCGCAAAATCATTAAGGGTAATTTTGACGAAGAGTTAATGGAGAGCAAATTTGGGACTCGTGTAAAAGTTAATAATCTTTTATAAGACAAAAAAATAATTAGAGTGAAGTTAAAACTTGACATAAAACTGTGAATTTTTTTTAGATAAATAAAAAGTTTAGAGTAGAATTAGTACTAAACCCAAAATTGAGGGTTTTTTTTATGATACAAAAAATGTTTATGATATAATTGGGACTGTATCTAAAGTTGTGGATTTTTTATGTGACAAAAAAAGGTTTAAGGCAAAATTAAGACAAGACCTAAAGTTGAGGGTTTTTTATGAGACAAAAGGTAAAACTGGGGCAAAAGCTAAAATTTGAGGTTTTTTAGGATATTATGCCCATTTTCGTCATAAAAATAAGCCATTTAAGGTGCGAAATTAGCGCCACCCTAAAACGGTCAGGATAATGGTTCTGACTATGTAATTTGCCTTGCTTGAATAAAATAGGAGGATTTGAAAAAAGAAGAAAACGGACCTGACACCTAGTAAAATATTTTAGTAATTTTGCCTATGTCACGACAAAAAGATTGTGATAAAAATGCCTTAAATGAGGTTGTTGCCCCTAGGCAACTTGATAAATCTAATTCGGGAATAATATTTTGAATATTCTCCAAAAAGCATTGTTAAGGGCGACATAAATAAGTTGCCCCCAAAATAAAATATTTTCTCATTTTAGACAAATTGAAGCTGAGTGCACAATCATTCACAATTAGGTTTTGATGCTGCCAGGATAAAGAGCCGGATGGGTAATGGTTAGGATAAGTTAAAGAAATTCCGGACTTTGCTGTATGCCCATCTTTTTACTGGGGACAACACCAGATATAAATAATGGGCATGGACAAATCTAATGCATTAGAATGTTTGGTAAACCTAAGTTAAGATTGAATAAGAATAGGTTAGTTAAATAAATCGCTTATAAGGAGAACAGAGAAACCCAGATCTTCTGTGAAGTTGTTGTCGTCGATAATAACTTTCGTTGCGTGACCACCCATCGAAATCATCATGGTCCCATCCATTGACAACCACACAAAATCTATATTCTACGTGTTCAAGGAGCGCACGCGTTACGCGTGAATGGAAAATAGTTGAAATTTTAGCTTAACAAAAACAAAATAGCGCGTATAGAATTTATTTGTTTTTTTTCAATATAATTTCAAATTGTCACAAAAAAAGAAGATGGGAGATTTGCGGAATGGTATGGCAATTATTTTGACAATAAGAATCCATTTGTTTCGCTAAAAATAGATGATTCGGATAATATTTTCCTAAAAATGATTGCTTGTATTGCTTACAGAAAGAATGAAGGAAATTTTTTTTATCGTTCACGAAAATGTTTAGATATAAATTATTATCGATGATGAAAATACTTTTCATTAACTAATTTTGTTAAGTAATATAAGCAATCATTTTTAGATAATAATCTTCTAAATCATCCATCTTCTAACCTTATTTTTCCGATCTCGGTCGTTCGCTCACACCCCACTTAAGAATACAGTTCGATCTTCCATAGAATTTTAAAAATTATCGTCGCAAGTCAACAAGAGCCGCATAAGTTCTATCCGAGCCACAGCTACTTCGCATGATCCGGGTTCAAGATTTTGAGACGCGCAAAACTCCTCGTCGCAGCCTCATGGGCATTGTTGATCGGTCTCCAGTAAGAGGTTCGCCGATGACAAGATCCGAACTCGCGACCTCGTGGAAAACGGAAACGGTAGTCCCCCCCCGTATCCGGTCAAAGGAAGTACACGTGACTGCTGTTTCTCTTTTTCTTCCCTCCCTCTTCTTATAGGAGGAGGAGGGAGGAGGGGAATAGGAGGGTGGCGTGAAGGCATTCAAGAGGGGGGGCCAGAAATAGTACACGAGGGTATCATTCAAAAGCCAAAGCTCCCCCTTCTTCTCCCTCGCCAACTTGTCTGCAACTTGCGCGATCTTTCCCCTTTTATTCAATATTCAATTCAAACCCACATACACTCGTTCCCACCTTCCTTCCTCGCACCACCTTCCTTCACCACATATAGAGGAGAGAGAGAGAGAGAGGGAAGCAGAAGAAAACAAGGTGCAACTTGCAAGGGGTATACCCTTTTTCTCCACTTTAAAACAGCCACTTGCAATTCTAGCAACAAAAAAAAAAAAAAAAAAAACAGCCACTTGCAAAGCTGGATTGATTAATCACACAAAAGAGACCCAAGCAAGTTGCGCCTCTGCTCTGAGCTAGCTGTTGGATTCCCATCACCTCTTATTTCTCAATGTTTTTCTTTTCAATTACACACCCCCAACTTGTCCTTCCTCGGAAAGACACTGCACCCGAAAATACATTCATCAATTTAAGCAAAAAAAAATGAAAGAAAATCATCCCATTTGCTGTTATCAAATTATTTCTGATGAACCCATCTGTTCATTTAACGAGAAGAAATTGCAAAAAAAAAAGCCATTTATATTGGGGTTGGTTTTGTAAAATAATATCTGCTTTCTTGCCCACAGGAAGGCAATCCGGCTTAAATTCTGGAAGTTCAGAGCACGGCATGTCCACCTTTTCGCGTGGTCGTTTCTTCTTTCTTCTTTTTTTAACCCCCAAAATTTTACAAAAAATAGCAATCCAGTCCTACATTCGCTCGCTTCCTCTCATGGGATCCCCACTTTAAACGACAATAAAAGTACCAACGAAAAAAATAAGAGAAAGCTCTCCTAAATGGCATTGCATGCAATTATAGAAAACAAAGAAAAAAGGAAAAAAAAATTCCAGAAATGCAGTATGTCATTGCTGTTATTGATAAAAATTCACAGAAAAGGGTGAAAAAAAAAAAATAATTCAGATCAAGACTAGACAAACCCTAAAAGACCAAGTGCAAGTAATTTTAGTAATAATAATATAGAACCAGACTTGGATTGGAGCGAAACGTTTCTTGATCGGCGACGGGCAACACACACACATCGGCTACTCACAAAAAACCACGGGCGTATCAACAGGGAGTCCGGAACACTCGAAGAACACGTTTATAATAACTAAATAATAAATCGAAAAGAGAGAGAAAAATATAAAGGAAAAGGTCAAAAAATCACAAGAATCAAGAACGGATGCGAAACAATCGATCGCTCACGAAGAGAAGGGTGTGTTGTTCTTGTTATTGTCGTCGTTGATGTTCTTGGCCAAGTTCTGTGAGATCTGAGAGAGGGACTGGAGGTTGCAGCGGACGATGGTGTCCGCGAAGACGCAGGTCTCTTCCTTGGTGTTGCCGGGAGGGACGTCGACGACGTACGACTGGACGACGACGGTGCCTTCGCCGTCGCCTTCGCCGTCGCCAGCGGTGTGGAGCGTGGTGACGGACCTGTAGTTGGCGAGGCGGTGCTCGCCGCCGACGACGCTGAAGCTGATGACGTGGCGCTCGTCGTCGAGGATCTCGAGGCGCTCGGTGCTGTTGTCGGCGGGGAGGCCGGAGACGACGCGGATCTCGCGGAGGGTGCCGACGCCGCCGTCGCCGGCGAGGACGTGGCAGCTCTTGACGAAGTGCTTGTAGGCCTGGGGGTTGTCGAAGCGGCGGACGAAGGACCAGACGGTGGGGAGCGGGGCGTCGATGCGCTGCACCACGGCGGAGCAGCACTGGTTGGGGCCGACGGCGTAGGTGTGGTGGAGGGCGGCCGCCTCGGGGACGGGGCACGCGAGGGGCGTGCGCTCCGGGTAGTCGTGGCACATGGTGGCCGTCGTGGCGGCGGCCACGGCCTGGGTAGGGTCCGGGTTGATTCGGTGGAGGAGGACGGAGGATGGAGGGGCGTTGGAGGGCATGATTTCAGGATAGGGGAAACCAAAATGGTTGCTTCTTCAACTTCTGTTAGAGAGGGGGTGGTGGTGATGGTGGTGGCGAGAGAGAGAGATTGGTTTTGGAACTTTCAGAGAGGTTGATGAATGAATTTGTAAGGTTGGTGGGTAAAATAGGCATACTTTTTGTAGGCTACTTGTGTGTATATATATACATGTGAATAGAAGTGTGTGCGCGTGTGAGAGAGAGGGTCACTTTCCAACTGCCTCAGAGGTGGCTGCGTTTGTTCTTTCTTCCCAAGTGGGTGATGTTGACACAGAGAGAGAGAGAGAGAGAGAGAGAGAGAGGAGGTGACCAAAGGGATTAATGAGAGGTAATGCAAGAGGGAGATAACAAATGCGAGAATGCTTTATATGACCGATATACGATTTGTGAAAAGCAGGAGATTCAAATTTAGACATGGAAGAAGTTGGTTTGAATGCATATCATGCGAGCAATGTGATGGTCGTCTATGCCACGTTCGCTGTTTGATAGTTATCAAAAATATTTTTTTCCGCGCGAATACGATGCAAGAGGGCGATTCTTTTTAATCCATATAGATTGTGACGCTAGTTTTTATTGTCACTTCTCTTTTTCTTGTAAGGCTTATCTGTTGATGGTCATATATGTTCACTAACCAACAGGCAATTTTCTCTGCCTCGGCTTAAAAATCCTCATCTAATCCGGAGTAAAAATGATGTCCTCTGAGTTATATTTTGTTCCTGAGTTTTGCGACTCCGTTTAGCTATGGTGTGTCGGTAATAGTGCAATGTTTCACTATTCATTTCTCTGCGCAAAATTAGCTAAGTTTATTATAACAGAGTTTCAACCCTTTGTCAATTATTAGGTACATGATCTTCCTTCCGGTATGTTCTTCGAATATTGCCTTCCATGACTTGAACTAACCAAGTAAATGAGCTCTTGTGCTAAATCTAGACATTTCTCGAAACATCATAAAAAAATATGACAGCACATATCAACCACCACCCTTGGATGAAAACTGAAAGGGTCACCATAAATCTAAATTAAAGCAGCCTACAATCTCCATGGTCCTTTGAACTATCGTATCAAACTTCAATCTCCCCCGACTATCATTGTCACCGTCTTCACAGAAATTCAGCTTCTCGATCCAGTGACCTTCTAATAGACCCCTCAGACTCAGAATCATTATCTCCCTCTCACTCATGTGTATAAGTCTCATGTGCAATCACTACGTTGTGTCTTGATCTGAAACCTTAGAGAATCTTGTAGACGAGCCAATTATTTTCGTTGCTTAGAAGAGATGTAACTCGCACTCTATCTCGCCTCGTGTCATAGTCTGTGCACCTTGAGAGTATCCAAAACTCCACCCTCAGGGGAGATCTTGTATCCAGCCCTATCAAGAGCACACGGCCAGATAAAGTTCTTTCTCAGCATTGGTACATGCCACAAAGCAGTCAATGTCCCACAACTCCATTATGTATCCTAATTTGAACTCTTCCTATTGATTACATCAAAAACACTCATATGTGTCATTTCACAATTTTTCACATGTCACTCACTTAGAAAACTCAAAGAGAGATAACCTTAACTCTTATCTTGGTTGCTCCATTATAACTTATGAAACTAGGTCAAAAATAAGCTTTTTATCCCAAGTTTCCCTTAATCAAATTGCCTTCAGGCGCCCGCTACATGGGCAGAATCAAGAGGTCTTTATGGGTGTCTAGTCGAGCGCCGACCCAATACCTAGAATGGGCTATTGGGCGGCGGCCGGCGGCCCAGGCTTTCCCAAGTTCCTAGCCCTATACTCCTGGTTCAAGCACGCCTCGAAAACGCCGTAGTCCGGCTCCAATCCGAAACGTTTCTTGATCGACATGAAATGGAAACACACTTTAACAAGAGCAACCCCTTCTTGTTAGAAAATCCAAAAGGAAATGCCATGAAAGAGTGATTCTAAAGTTCTTTTCTTGAAAGTTGACTGTAAGTTTACTAAAGGTGTTCCAAAAGCCACGGGATTGGGCAAGAGGCTGTTAGAGTTCAACGCGTTTGAAATAGATTCTTCTCCAAGAAAGAGAGGAACACCCAATGGTTTGTCTCAAGAAATTAATTATTCTCTTTATTATTTATCCAGGGCAAATTACCAAAGAAATTCTAAATCTATTGCACTTATGCCAATTCAGTTCTAAACCTTTTAATTTGTCCAATTTAATCTTAAATATTTTGACTATTTGCCAATTTACTTCTAAACTTTTCAACTGTGCCAAATGAGTCTAAAACCTTTTGACGATTTGACAATTTAGTTCTTCCGACTAATTTTGATTGAAAATCGCTGATGTGGTGGTCAACATCGGTCGTCATACATGGTACGGCCGACGCTCACGTTGATAATTTTTGTAATTTTAAAAAAAAATTCTTAATAATTTTCCTTTTTTGTTCTTTCCTTTTTTTTTCCTTTCTCTTGTTTCTTTTATCCTCATTTCCCTTTGCCAATCGCAAGCCTCAGCAATGACTGACATAGATCACCGACCACCAGCGAGGGCATCCTGGCCCTTGTCCTCACCGGTGACCAGGGGAGGGAAATAAGGAAAAAAAAAAGAAAATAAGGAAAATAACTCAAAATTTTCAAAAAAAGAAAAGAAGCAAAAATCGTCTACGTCGATGTCAGTCGTTCCACCTAGGACAACTGACTGACTGGACTGTCACATTAGCGATTTTTGACCAAAATTAGCCGGAAGAACTAACTTCGCAAATTGTCAAATAGCGAAATGTCAAAAGATTTAGGACTCAATTGGCAAAATTGAAAAGTTTAGAATTAAATTGGCTCAAGTACAATAGATTTATAACTAAATTGGTCAAATTAAAAAGTCTACGGCTGAATTGATGTAAGTGCAATAGATTTATGACTTTTTTAGTAATTTCCCATATTTATCTAGTGGGGCCATTACCTTATATGTCATACATGAACCGTTGCAATTCAACCTGCACGACTCAATATAAACATCTCAAAATGGTCCTGAGTTCTAGTCCTCGTCCATTCAAGAAGGGGTTTAGATCAGATTCCTTATTGTGAAATGAAAAATACTTCTCATATAAGCGATTTTTATTCACGACTCGTGGTGCAACTGAGCAAGATAAATGCGACAACCGTATTCCTATACATTTAAGAATAAAAGAAAGTACGGCAAGAATAATTCGATAATTTTCGAAAACTAGTCTATACGGTAATGGTAGCTGGTAATCTAGTACCAGCTTGCTCATTGAAGAAAGTATAAATAAATTGGTCATGGCCTGATCTCTTCTACTTCTGTGGCAGATTTTCACGATTATTTTTTTTTTCAAATTAAGCTTGAGCTGTGTGCATTTAGTCGTAGTCTTTAATGCTGTACAAAGGTAAAATAAAAAATAAAAATAAAGAAGAGAAGGGACCCTCAGACATAGGGGCATGGCACTTTGCTCATGAGGAGATGGTCCCGGTTTCATTTCAAAATTGAAAATAAAGGGCGGCCCTCTCAATTTCTATTGTTTAAGAGCATTAAATCTCAAGTTGGAAAATAGAATAATAATTGCTATTAAATAGGAAAAAAATAAAAAAAAAAAAAGCGACAAGTGGTCCATGGCTCGACCTTGATCATTGGGGAAAAAAAAATAATTGTCGATCGATCTTAATCATCCGCTCTGAACGATTGCACTACCTCCATTGCAACTTGATGTCGACCAAAAAAAAAATTTGTAACTTGATCTTTTTGTAAATTAATAATTGTTTTGTTGATACCTAAATTTCCAACCTTTGGCATCCCCCAAGTCAATGCCTCGCATTCTTACAAAGCATTGTTTCATACAATGTTTATTACATGTTGGATCACCTACTTTCATTATTTTTTGTCGTGCTCTCTCATATGTTTCGGGGACAGCAGAATAAAGGCTCTTCGATTCTCCCACGGAACACTGTACGTGGTCATAAAGAGTGTCGAGAGGTTTGGTAAGTAGCTTATTGGAAGTTTTCGTCTAAACAAAGTTTAGTAACTAATGACATTAATTATATCAAATCCTAATACTAAGTACTAACTGTGCTTAACTTCCATGACCATTGACTTTGGGACCAATATAAAACACCTACTTGTTCAATTGACTCGTATTAATATAATCAACGGATAAACCTCCCCCAAGTCCGATTGTTATTTGCAATCTTGTGCGAACATAGGGAGGCGCTTCTCAAATGAGAGAGCCCACAACTCCGTGCATTACAAGGCTCACTATCTTTGTGGAAAGTTAGCATAGCTTATTCATTAGTATCGAGTGCACTAAGAGGTGATATAAGGGAAAGGAAAGGGGAAAATTACCCAATCGATCCTAAATTTATTATACGGATATCAATTCAATTTTAAACTATTCAATTTTGTCAATTTAATCACAAAGCTTTGCGTGAAATTTCGATGAAGTCCTTCCAGTTGGTTTTTGCTGGAAATCGTTAACCATCTTAAGTAGCACATCACCACGTCAGAGTGATTTCCGGCGAAAATTGGTTAGAATGACTACATTGAAATTTATGCATAAATGGTTAAGACTAAATTGACAAAATAAGAAAATCTATGACGGAATTGGCATTTGCACAATAAGTTTAGGATTTATTGGATAACTCTCCGAAAAAAAAAGTGTATTTGTGTAGTGAAAAGGAGCACTTCAAATATTCAGTTGCCAAAGAATATTTGATGACTTAATTGTCTGAATAAAATTAGCTTTAGTTAAAATGTTATAGGATATTATTAACGAGTGCTCGAAAAAACCTGTTAAAAACTCAAATAAAGAAATTTGATCATTTCCTCTTTCCATAGCACTGGGTTCGCCGTGTTCGATGTATTGAAAATGAATATCTTTCTTTTAGGTATGACCTTGAACTCGAAATCGATTTTGTGATCTTCCGTCATGAGGTGCTACTCTAGTATCAAATGCAATTGTCTATTGCAACAAGGATGTGCCAATTATTGTCCATTCCATTTTGACTAGCGTCAATTTAGTCAACATGGAGCACTCCCAAAAATCAATCATCAAAATAATTGGGCTCTCAACTTGCTGAAGGAAAGAGGAAACAAGATGAAAGGATAATGAAAGTGCTTTTAAGCCTAATCTAGTTTAATTTGTTTCGCGAAAAATGAACGATTTATA